ATGGAAGGCTGAGTCAACCCTGAGCCGGTGAGATTTGAACCGCTGACCTGCTGATCTAGCAGTAGCCTGCAGTGCTGCATTTAACCACTGCGTCCCAGTTGTGATAGTATGTTAACGACAACCTGTACTTAAAAAAAATATTGAAGACTTGAAAATAAAATAGTACACATACAGGAGAGAGGCCTATAGCACAAAAGAAATGTACAATCATAGCTGGGAATCATTGCAGGAAAGCAAAAGTTCCAAAAGATTCAAAACTGCTGGAGGATACTAAGTGAGAGGCCTTCTTTAGATATGTTCAAAATAAAAGGAAATAGATTCAATATGCCAGCTGCTCAGTGAAGGCAGAAAAACAAATAATAAAGAAAAAGCAGAACTGTTGAACTGCTATTTTGGTTCAGTGTTCTCCAGCAACAACAAAAAATCAGGAAACTGTGAACCAGTAAGATGAAGGGCAAAACTTAAACTTGAGATTGACAGAAGATGATAAGGGTATATACCTCTTTACTTTGAAGGAGTTTAAATCTTCACTCCCCCCTTGAGAATATTTTTTCCCACCAACTTCCCTGTGAAAAGATTTGGAGATCTTGAAGGTCTGCACATTTTATGTCTTGGAAGTTGTTTATTAATAGCAGTTGCCTAATATGGTTTTCCAACTCGTACCTACATTGCTAATACACTTTTCCTGTTATCATAATTAAAATTCATAGTTCATAATTCCCTGTAGTTTTCGTGGCAAGATTTCAGAAGTGATTTGCCACAAAGAGTGATTGACCAAAGGTCATCCAATTGGCTTTGTCTCTGCAGTGGGACTAGAACTCACAGTCTCCTGGTTTCTAGCCTGGTGCCTTAACCACTAAACCAAAGTGGTTCCTTTTCTGAAAGATAAGAGCATATGCCATATCTAAGACAAACCTCAGTATTTTGCACCCCCCAGCTCTTTGGCTGTCCTTGCCCATCACACATGAGGTCAATCAGAAATTAGAAATCAAATGTAAATAAGTGCACTGCCGGGCGCAGGAGAAAACACGGACTTGGGTCTGGGTCTGTGCTGTTGCCATACATTCCTTCAGTCATCTGGTGGCTATGGAAGGAGGAGGAGGAGAGAAAGTGCTTTTCTCTACCTGCACAGTGCTCATCCCTAGCTTGGAAAAGCATGAGCAGGTGACAGAGGTCATCGCTTGAAGGGACATGGGCTCAGCCACCCACCACTACCTTGGTTGAAGCAAGGCCTTGCAGGTAAAGCAGGCCGAGCATAGTTGGGAACTAGTGGAGTGCAGGTATGGTGGCAGAAGAGTGGTGGCTGGGCCAGTCTGATCTGAGCAAGGTGAGGTGAGGAGAGAAGAGGCTCCGTGCTTCTTCCTCCAGCAGCCAGCCAAAGTCACCAAGAAGGAACTCAACTCCAACCATGATGGGAGCAAATGAGATCTCTAAACCAAAGAACAACAAGAAGCCTATTGGTTTGGCCCTCCACAATGGCCCCAGTTTCTCATGTGGCCTCTTGGGAAAATTAACTTCCCACCTCTGATCTAAGATCTGCTTACACAGCCAAGTTTTAATGACCCTTCTAAAATTCAGTAGGATAGGGATGGTACAGATCCATTTATTTATTAAATTTATATGCTGCCCATCTCACTCTGAAAAGTGACTCTGGGCAGCTCCATGTTGTTGCAAAGAAGAATATAACGACTCATTAAACATTTGGAATGATCACCACACCAAGAACCATAAATTTACCAAACACAGGGCACAAAATATTTATCAGTGTGGAACAGATTGCATCTGGATGGATGGGTGAAAGCAGGGGTGGGTTGCTGCCGGCATTGCTGCCGGTTCGCTTTGTGCATGCGTGCGCAGTGGACTGAATTGAAAAAATGACTAAAAAACAAGCTGGCCACGGCAGCAGGGACTGGGGGAACCCATTCAGGGGCGTGGCCAGCCTGCTGTCCCTACCGGTTCAGCAACCCAGTCCCAATCTCTACTACCGGTTTGCCTGAACCGGTGCGAACCAGTGGGTGAAAGCCATTTGCTTGTTTTCAGAAGGAAGGAAAGAAGATAGATATAGAAGATGTACTACAAATAATGGAGGAGAAAAAAAGATAAAATTATTAGCTGAGTAAGGTCACCCCACTCTCCATTATTGATTCAGGTGGGGCTGTTGCAAAAAAAGTTACCTACTACCCCAGCCTCTGCCTGCTCCCATTAGGACTCCCATTAAATCTCTTCTGAGAGCTTCTTTTCAGCCTCATGAGGATCTTCATAAGCTGTGTTCCTTCCCTCTCCCAAAGAGCACTGGGATCAACCTGGAGTTCCAATCATTGAAAAGGCTGCTAGCCTTTTTGTCCTGACCCCTCTAGCATGTGGGGCACCACCAACACTTTCGGTAATCAAGCCTTGGCCAGTTGTTTGGGAAAGGGTTTCCTTTTTTGACCTCCTCCTTCAATTGCTTTGAACAGGGAGCGGCTGCTCTGCCAATTTTGTATGGAAAAGGATGAGTTCCAACTGGCTGTCTCCTTGTAAAGCTGCAGCTGTTCCACCTGCTTATGTGAAGAGTGGTGGTGGGGGGGTGACAGGGCAGACAAGAGCCAGAGCTACCCATGGACTTCCAGATGAACTTGGCAGAGAAGGGATGCAGAATCTGCAAGCTGGAGGTGATTTGTGAAGTCATAAAGTAGGGGCAGGGGGACAGAGATCTCTCTCATCATACAATTATGTTCTTTATTGTCGGGGGGACCCTATTTGTTGGTATCATTTCCCCCCCCCCTAATATTTCTTTTCCTTTTTGAAATTATTAGCTTGGTTCAAGTTTTTGTTTTTCAGTAACCGGAAGGAGCTCAGAGCTGGTCCTACTTCTAAGCGGAATGATGCAATCCTGATTTCAAATAAAAAATATAAGAGTAGCTTTTGTTTCCATCAGTATTTAGGAATTCTTGGAGCAATGCAAGCCTGCTCTTCAAAAACTCTAAATTTTGTAATGTAGTTTTTGGTTTTTACAAAATTAAACCTCTGGCCTCATCTTTAAAAAAGCTTATTTCATTTCTCCCTTTGTTAATAACCTGTGTTTTCAAGAAATTTACTTGGAAATGAGCACTTAAATATGAAATGCATTTAAAGTTAGATGTTCGACAAGAGCATTCATTCTAAAATACGTATTCATCGATATACTTTATTTTTCTATGTATTAAAAAGATTTCTTCAGTTAAGGTGGAAATAAATGTAACTATTCTGAAGAATGAATGTGGGAGGAACTAACGCTGACTGGAAATGAACTGAATCCGTTTTCATTATACCTGAAAGTATCTGCTCTTCTGTTTCAAGCAGCACAATGTTTGATTCTTGCCTCAGATCCCTGCACAGGAGAAAGTTTTTCTTCCCTAGAGGTTTTCAAATCTTTTCAGGCCATGGGACTTATTCTAAAAAAAGGAAAAACCTGGTGAGAATTTTGAATATCAATTAACAAGACCAACCTTTCCTGATCCCACAGTACCATAGTAATGGGGGAGGGGAAGGGGGGAACTGTTTGCAAGGGATTAAGGGGTGTATAACTCCCCACAAAGGACTGAGAAAAAGGCTTTCTGAGAGTGATTTCCCCAGTCCCAAGGAATCCATTCAGGTCTTCACAGAAAAAAAAACATCTGCTGTAATTTATTTATTTTTATTTTATTTTTCCTTTATTTGTATGCCGCCCTTTTCCCTGGGGGGACTCAGGGCGGCTCACAAATGCATGTATATGTTACTATTGGAAGAAATGTCCTTTTGGGTTCAGTTCCAAGTGGGGAAAAAGACACTGGAAACCTGGTGGGTGCTTGGAAAGCTGGTTTAATGGTGGACAGGATCACATGGCTTGAGCTCCTGAACAGAAAAGGGGGACCACATGCTTCCAGATGTTGGGTGAAGAAGAAAGAGAGAGAATAGGGGGCTTGCTGAGAGTTCCTGGGTTTTTTTATACTCTGTTTGGTCCCACCTCTCTGTTCCCTGTTCCTGTGTAAGAAATGTATTCTGATTGGTGGTCAGACTCCCAGGGGCAGGAGTCTCTTAGCTAACTTTGTAGGTTNGACTGGGCCTAAGTGGTACCTCATTGCCTAATTCCCTCAATGTAGTTGTAGTACAATTAAGGATTACTCGTTGAATACAGTTTGCCAACCAGTTATGAATCCATCTGATGGTGATGCTATCTATCCCACTTTTTTCTACCTTACCAAGAAGTAGGTTGTGGTCTATTTTGTTGAATGCCTTGCTGAAGTCTAAGTATATATTACGTCCACAGTATTTTGCTGGTCTACTAATTTAGTCACCAAGTTGAAGAATGAAATAAGATTGGTTTGGCATGATCTGTTTTTAACAAATCCATGCTGACTTCTAATTATTACTTTACTCATTTCTAGAAAAAACAGATCTGTTTTTTATTATCTTTTCTAATATCTTCCCAGGCATTGATGTTAGGCTGATTGGTCTGTAGTTTCCTGGGTCTGGGTATTTTTCTTTCTTTTTTGAAGATGGGAACCACATCAGCTCTTCTCCAATCCTCTGGTAGTTCCCTGTTGCTCCAGGTTTTCTGAAAGATGTGGTACAGTGGTTCTGAGATGACATCTGCCAGCTCATTTAGAACTCTGGGATGTAATCCATAAAGTCCCGGTGATCTGTATTCATCAAGATCAGACAGCTGTTCTCTTACCATTTTTTGCTTATTTTAACTTTTATTTATAGTCTGTATTTTACAGTTATGTTTTGGCAGGTTGTAAAAAGGCATTGTAACACTAACCTCAAGAGACAACAAATAATCTGACAGTGATTTAGGAACATAAATTGCAACTTTGCTGTCTACTTCTCATGGCAGTTCCACAGAATACTATATAGAAGGGCCCTGCTGAATGGGGTCAGGCCAGAATATAAAGGATTATAAAATGTATACCACAGACGTCTCTGTTTATTTAGTCAGCAAGTTTGATATTTTCACACAAGAGAAGCTGTTATGGGAGCAGAGGCATGAACACCTCCTTCCCACACCCAGTTCTATATATAGCTACAATAAAGCTGGATCCAGTCCATAAATGAAAAGTTATAAAAGATTAGTTTAGGTGACTCTTCAAAAAAGAGCAGCATTTCTTACTGCATAAATCGATATGCCTGTACATTAAGTACATTGAGGTGCAGACTTTAGATTGATTGATTGATAAATATTTTAATAGTTCTATACTAAATTACAATTAGGGATGTTTTTCATTTACATGTATATGAACCTTCCGGATTATATGCTAAATTATATTTCAAATTTCCTTATAGGTTTCATTTCCTGGTTTATCCATAACATTTTTTGTCAGAATGCAGATCTGAATAAATAATGAAAAACTACAAATAAACATTAATACACTGCAAACTATGTATTACTTATATAAGTTCTTTTGCTTTTTATATCATTTAGAAAAAGTTTTGATTTTTTCCTCTTTCCATAACTCTTTAACCTTGAATCAACTTATAGCAGATTGTTGCTGAACTATTGGCATTTGAAAGATAATAAAATATTCAAAGACTTTAGAGTTATTAAGTTTATTGTTGCATACTTCTAGATAGAAATTCTAGCTAGAATCTAGACAAGGTTAGCCATGTTTTAATCTCATTGAAGTTTGAAATAGTTAACATTGATGTTGATTAACATATCTTATTACTTTTAATTAGGACCAGTATGAATAATGTCTTCTGAAATCAGCTTTCTAGGTAGAGCATACAGATGATATACTGTACATGTTTATTTAGAAATAAGACACATTGAATTCTCTTGGACAATTAAATATGCATGATTGGTTCCTCCAAAGTAGTTTACCATTTCTTTTCACATAGTAGATAACATTTCTCTTTTCTGATACTCCTTTGTAGATTAGTCACTTTCATTTCTGTCATCAAAAACCATGCACTTATGGCTTGCTCTTTACTTCTTCAGCTCCTTGATCAAAAATCTAATTCTCCCTTCTCTTCTCTGCAACCAGAGACTTAACAAGGTGTGTAGTCAGTATTGCTGAATACCATGTAATTTCTTGTGCTGAGCTATTATATTGTCTGATTAGTTAAATACCGCACATTACACTGTAAGAAAGTAGCAGTGAAAATTACAAATATGAATAAAAGAATCATAAATAACCCATTACAACATATTTATGTAATGTACTTAATGTGTTTTACTATATTTAGAGTAATTGAAAATTACAGTCATTTTAGTAATTCGATATGATTCATATTTAACTTTCTAATTAGGAATTTCCTTGTTCATAGTTCCACAGTAATCTAAATTGCACATCAATATGATTTCAGAATATGGCTGTAATATTGAGATCTATAGAACTATGTTCCTGATTAATTTTCATGGCTAGTTTCCTATGCAAATTTACCAAAACTAAAGTAATTTAATGAAACATATCTACAGCAGGGATGTCAAACTCACAGCCCAAATGTTTCATGAACTGACCAAGCCCACCTCCATTTTAGCAAAGGAGGGGGAAAAATCATAATACGTCATGTGATGACAATGTGACAATATGAATTTGACACCCTTGATCTACAGGGAAAGCAGTTACACTCTTTTATCTCCCTTGAAGCACAGATAAGCTATTTTCCCAGATTTACAGCTTTCTAAATTTATTTTCATTCTAGATAAGCATTTTTTAAAAATTGGCAAAAAGCAATGACTCAGAATCAGAATTTGAGAAAGGATTTTAAAAGAGATGTAACAGCACTATTAGCATGTCTGCTATACTTCCTCTGCTGTGTTCTGACCTCACTATCCTCATAGAAACAACTAAAAAGGGCCATATTTTTATTTGGCTTTCTAAATACTTCAAAGTTTCTGAGAGGTAGGCAGCATATAAATGTAATAAATTATTATTGTAAAGTTCCTTTTTATTATAGATATATTTCAGGAGATAAGAATGGCTGAATAAACAAGACTGAGCAGCTAAATATATTAAGAACTGAAGCAGAATTGTAGGTAGCATTAAGTTAGATTTTGTTTTCCTTCTCTTTCTGGACAGTCTTTCTGAGAAGGTATGCTGGATGTTATTTGTAACATATGGAGTTATTTGTAAAAAGTGGGATACAAATAAATAAATAAACAAAATTACAAATTGGAAAAAAGCCAGGAAAAGTATTTATTGGAGTTATATATTGTCTATCATTGTGGTTAACAACAATTAATTATAAAATACAAATAATAAAACTTAGTGCCTAATTAAAACACATCATAAAGCAGCTTAAATATAGAATATCTATATTGATAAATAAGTAAAATTGTGCCTTTGAATCAGTATTGACTCCTGATGACTGCAGGCTTTTTGGCAAGATTTCAGAGGGTGATTTACCATTTCCTCCTCCCTAAGGCTGAGGGAGAGGCCTATAGTGACTGAGCTGGCTTTAAGTCTTAGTCGGGACTAGAACTCACAGTTTCTCAGGTTCCAGCCTAATGCCTTAAGCACTTCACCAAACTGGCTCTCT